ACTAACACAGCACTCTGTGATGTTCATCTTCCCTGACAGATCGCTGAAGACAAATGGGTGCATAAGCAATTGTGGTGAAGAAAGCTGATGGTGCCTGGCTGTCAAAAGATATAGCATCTGGGGTCTTAAAGGCTTGAAGATAAACAAGTGGCCATCTAGCTCAGAAGCAACAAAGTCCACATGGAAGAAGCACTCCAGCCTGTGTGATCATGAGGTGTCAATGGGATCGGGTATCAGGCATCAAAGACCCAAAACAAAACAAACAAAAAACATATCAATGGGAATGAGGGGGAGGGCAGAGTGGAGAACCAAAGCCCTTCAGTAGTCAATTGGACACTCCCTGTCAGAACAGCCACAAGGAAGAAAAGAGCCAGTCAGGGTGCAGAATAGCACTGATGAAACACACAAGCTTCCTCTAGTTCTTTAATACTTCCTCCCCTCCATACCATGACCCCAATTCTATCTCACCAATGGTACAGATATGAGCATAAAACACAGGGAATCCAGAACAGATAAACCCCTCAGGACCAATAAGGGGAGCAGCGATACTAGGAGGGTAAGGGGGTAGGGGGAATGGAGGGGAACTGATCAGAATGATCGATGTGTGACCCCATCCCTGGGGGACAGACAGCAGAAGTGTGGGTGAAATAGGACAGCATCCAGTGTAAAACACGAGAGAGAGAAAAAAAAAGGAAGAAAAGCTTATAGATTGTTAGGGAGGGGGACAAAGGAGGAGCTGATGCCACAGGCTCAAGTAGAAAGAAAATTTTTTGGAAAAGATGATGACAACAAATGTAAAGATGTATTTGACAAAATGGATATGTGCATGGATTGTGATAAGAGTTATAAGAGCCCCCAATAAAATAAAATATTTTTAAAAAGCAGATTAGGCATAGAAGTGAGCAAGCACAAATTGAAAAAGATTGATGCTACATGACTATCAAAAAATAATCAAGAATATTTTCCCCCATAGACATAAAGAAACCAATTAGAGCTCAAGCAGTGAATTTAGATTTCTAATCTCCTAAATTGTGAAGAAATAGACTTCTGTTTGTTAAAAATAATAACAATAATTCAAAATTACTATTATGCTTTTGTGTTTTTCCATTCGTTTAAAGCAGTAATGAAAGAAGACAGAGTTTGTCCAACCCCCATTTCACACTGAGGAGTATTGATACAGCCACATTTTGTAGTACCTTGCTTCTTGCTTTTTAAGTCAAAAGATTCATCGAGACCTCGTGTGGAGTTCAGATTCAAAACAACAATGATACTGAGTTATTTGTCAATCTGTGAATTGTGCCTGTTTACTAAGTTCCTCATCATTTCTTCAAGAAGACTCCCTACATGACTTACCTAAGAGTTCCACCAAAGGGTTCCAACTCCTTTTACTTTCTGATGCACCCAAGTATTCAGCATGTTGAAGGGAATTTTCAACTTACAACTTCTGAGAACTACCTGTTTCATAAATAATCTCAGATGAGCACGAAGCCTGTAGGTAGCAATGTTTGACTTAGCCTCCTTCACAAATGAACCAGTTATGCGGGGAAAGGGGGCTTTAAATGCTCACAAACCTTTCTGTTGCATTTTAGAAAGTATACTTTGCAAAGTGTGCAAACAAGAAGAGGCAAATAAGACCAAGCAAACTGTACATACTATTCTCATGGGTGACAGAGGCAAGGGAAATGATTTTAATTGGTGCCCTGCTTAGGCTGCAAGTCTATTAATCCTGTGAGACATTTTTATACCAAGGAAGGCAGAATCCTGACGTTGGCATAGAGATCATTTCCAATCCTATTATTTATTAAGCAACATATTTCCCACAGCAAATGAACCCTACCTGGGGTACTCTGGGAAAGGCTCACTGGTGCCATCGAGTTGATGCCAATTCATAGCAACCATACAGCACAGAGTAGAACGGCTCCTGTTTGTTTCCGAGACTGTAGCGCTTTACAGGAGTAGAAAACCCCACCTTTCTCTTGGAGAACTGTTGGTGATTTCTAACCGCAGACCTTGCCATTAGCATGCCCGCGTGTCACCAGTATACCATCAGGGCTCTTTCAGGGAAGATACCAGGAAAAGAAAATACCCAGAAGTTGTGAACCAGAGTCTCATCAAAAAAGAGAGTCCCAACCCTCTACCTTCTTATTTTAGAACAAGTTGTCATTTTGATGAAGTAGATCACTTTAAGAAGACTTTGCTAAGACAGGAATATAAAGATGTTACATCTATAGCTTCCCTTTTTTGTCTCTCAAGTATGTAGGTTCTTGGAATTAACATTATTTTTTTTAAGATAGGGCAGAGAGAATGTGAAAATAAAAAAGGTAAGGAGATGAAAGGAAAAAAGGAAAATTGGCTTAGACAACTTCTAAAGGATAAAAATATGCAATCATGCCAAAGCACAATATGAAATTACTGCCACCCTCTACAGCCCACATCACCGCCTAGGAGCAGTTTTCTTTCCTGCCTTGGAATTCCAAAAGGTTATAAGCACTTGTCATTTTTTTCTTTGAAATATATTTATTGTTTTATTTCACAAAATTCTGTGCTACAGAAGTAACGCTTTTAGAGTGGCTAAAAGACACCTGGCTGTGGAGAACATGGTTTCTTGATGTTGTTAAGTGTCATTGAGTCGGTTCTGACCCGTAGAGATGTCATGCACAGTTCGGTGCCATCTTCACAACGATTCCTATGCTTGAGCCCATTGTTGCAGCCGCTGTGTCAATCCTTGTCTGTGAAAGTCTTCCTTTTTCCCTCCCCCTCCACTTTACCAAGCAGGATGTCCTTCTCCAGACACCAGTCTCTCTTTACAACAGGTCCAGAGCATGGAAGACTAAGTCTCTGTATCCTTGCTTCTAAGGAGCACTCTGGCTGTATTTCTCTCAACATGGATTGGTTTGTGTTCTTAGTGATCCATGGTATGCTCAGCATTTTTCTCCAACATTCCAATCCATGTGTCAATTCTTCTGCTGCTGTCTTCCTTACTCAATTTCCATGCATATGACACAAATGAAATATAATGACTTCAGTCAGAAGCACCTTAGTCACCAGTAACTTCCTCACTTTTCAGTTCTCTAAAAAGGTCTTGTGCAGCAGATTTACCTAATGAAACCCATCATTTGATTTCTTGTTTGCTCTTCTATGAGAAATTATTGCAGATCCACACAAGACAAAATCCTTGACAACTTCAACTTTTTCTCCATTTATCTTGATGTTTTCTATTGGTTCAGCTGTGAGGATTGTGGTCCTCTTTACATTGAGTTGTAATCCATCCTGAAAGCTGCAATCCTTGATCTGCATCAGCAAGTCCTTCACGTCTTTGCTTTTCAGCAAGCAAGATTGTTTCATTTGCAAGTTGAATGCCTTATCATAGGAAATAAAACACAAGTAAATATCTTCGCGATATTCTCACGTTTAAGTTAAGATCCATCTGACATCAGCAATGATATCCCTCATTCCACATCCTGTTCTCAATCTGCGCTGCACCTCTGAAAGCTCCTTGTCAATGTACTGCTGTAACCATTGTTGGATGATATTCAACAAAAATTTACTTGCATGGAATATCTCTGATATAGTTCTATTATTTGAGCATTCTGTTGGGTCACCTTTTTTTGCAATTGGTACAAATATAGATCTCTTCCAGTCAGCTGGCCAAGTAACTGTATTCCAAATTTCCTGGCACAGTCAAGTAAATGCTTCCAGTACGTATCAGCTTATTGAGATATTTCAATTGGTATTCCACCAATTCCTGGAGCCTTCGTTTTGGCAAATGCTTTCAATTCAGCTTGAAACTCTACAACTGCGTGACTCATAACAAACTATGGATGACCTAAAGAAGGATGGGAATTCCAGAACACTTCATTGTGCTCAATTGGAACTTGTACATAAATCAAGAGGCAGTTGTGTGAAAGGAACAAAGATATACTACATGGCTTAAAACCATGAAAGGTGTACATCAGGGTTATATCCTCTCATCACACTTATTCAATCTGTATGTTCAGCAAATAATCAGAGAAGTTGGATTATATGAAGAAGAATGTGTTATCAGGATTGGAGGAAGACTTATTTACAACCCGTGATATGCAAATGACAGAACCTTGCTTGCCAAAAGTGAGGAGGACTTGAAGTACTTGCTGATGAAGATTAAGGTAGGATTGCAGCCTTCAGTATGGATTATAGCTCAATGTGCTGCAGACCAAAATCCTCACCACTGGACCAATAGATAACATCTAGATAAAATAGAGAAAAGGTTGAAGTTGTTGCTTGTATCCATAATCAATGATCATGGAATCAGTAGCCAAGAGGTCAATAGATACATTGCATTGCATAAGTCTGCTGCAAAGGACCTTTTAGAGTGTTCAAAAAGCAAGGATATTACTTTGGGAACTAAGATGTACTTGACCCAAGCAATAATATTTTCAACTGCTTCATATGCATGTGAAAGTCGAACATTGACTAAGGAAGATGTTAAATGCTTTTTGTGTAGGTTGCACTTCTTCCTTCAGCGAGATCAGTTCTTGATCAGATGTTTCCTTCTGAAATGGTTGACTGTGGACCAGTTCTGTTCACTACAGTGATTCTGTATATTCTTTCCATCTTCTTTTGATGCTTGCCTTCACAATTCAATATTTTACTCACTCAGGCTTGAGCACTTTGGGGCTAACAGTTTTTTGATCCATAATTCAAAAAATCTTTTGGGTGGAAAAAGGGTAGAAAGAAGTATTTGCAATGTTTATCTTAGAAGTCACTGGGATCCACAAAATCGTAATTTTTATTAAATTCTCAATTATTGACTTTTAATAGATATCATACTTTATTGGCACTGTTTTGTTCAATATTTCTGTTATTACCACTAAAAGGTGGAGAAGAGCTGGTAGCAGCTCAAAGGGATATCATTAAGAAATTGTCGAGACAGCTCTGAGCCCAGCTGCCGCAGTGTCCTGGCATCTCATGGTTCCAGATTTGGGCGAGGGGTCTGACAGGGCCTTCAGCAAGCCAGGTTCATGGCTATAGAGGCCGCTTCTTCCGCATTGGCAGTCAGGGCCTTGGGGCTGGCCATCACCGCATCATACTGGGTCTTCTTCAAGGGACTCTCTCGCCCCCTGCTCACCTTCTTCCATCTGGCTAGGCAGCTGCGCATGAATTTTCCATACTTCTACATGGCAGGCTCCGTAATACTCAACAACCGCTTGCAGGTACACACATGGAGCTACAATTGCAGGGCAGGCGTTTGAGCCAGGCCTGTAGGAGGACTCCGTGGGGACCAGAGGGAAAGCAGAACTAACTGCACTCAGCTTTGCTCAAGGTCCCAGATGAAAAGAAATCAGAAAAGCGCAACACAGGACATATGCGGTCCCGAGAACAGAGGAACACTTAAATGAAGACCCACAGAAATATGTAAAGAAGTCATCCATCCTTAAATAAAAATAGGACGAACTCAAGAATGTGAACAAGGGCGCAATTTAAAAGACTGCTAAATGATGTATGTATGGAATCTGAAAAGAGTTGTATGAGTCCCTAATAAAATGATTTTTTAAAACGCCAAATCGCATAGAGATAAATAACTTGGACTTTGAAATAATATGTAAACTAACTTTGAAAAAATAAAAGGCTACTACATTTTTTTCAGGAAAATAAATGATGGTAAACGGAAGGTAAAATTTAAATTGGAGATCGGTGAACTTCAGGAAATTGGATTGGATTGTATATAATACATTGAAAGTTTAAGAAGCTGAAGATCACAGAAATGTAATACGGAAAGGACACAATTCCTCCCACAAAGAAAACAATAACAATCAGAGATTGAACAAATCATTTGAAATCTACTGAAAAGGCATTCTCCAAATAATAAACATAAAATGTTCCAGGATTGTGAATGTAAACAAATGGATTCTATTTCAGTCTCCCTTTGAGTCGTAGTAATTGGATCAAGACCTTGAAGCCAAAGGCGAAAATCCAATCAAAGACAAAGTTTAGTATTTATTTAACGTTTAAATACTGGAAAATTATGATTTTTCATTTTTAATGGAACACATACAATGTGTTCAAAAATAGCAGGTAAATATTGTTGGCATTTGATCATGCAATTGTATGGAAGAAAGTTGGCCATGGTTTTTTGTGGGGGGTCGGTAATTGTGTCCTTATAAAGTAATAATTGAAGTGACCCTATGTGTTGAGAAGAAAGATGTATTTTACTGTTTAAAGGGGTCAAAGTAAAATGCCAATGTAACTATTGAGGAAGAAGGGGAGACTGGCCTGAGGTCCACTGGAAATGCCTAGAGAAGGAAAGATGAAGGGGGATGTGTTAGTCTAGGTACTTTGAAGTAACAAATTCACAGAAACTCATGTATAAGAGAGAGTTTTACATAAATATTAAGTGTGTATCAAGAAAAAAATCCCAACCCAGTGCTGCCCAAGCCCACAAGTCCAACATTAACCCATATGTCCAAAGCCAATCCACAAAGTCCTCCTCCATCTCACAAAACAGATGCAATGATGCCAACTGCAGGAGGAAAGCCGAGTCAGTGAA